CAACGACAAATATGATCATGGCAAGAGATCCCCTGATTACAGCTCCAAATATGATCACAACGACAAATATGATCATGGCAAGAGATCCCCTGATTACAGCTCCAAATATGATCACAACGACAAATATGATCATGACAAGAGATCCCCTGATTACAGCTCAAAATATGATCACAACGACAAATATGATCATGACAAAAGATTCTGTTAATTTCTTAACAAAAGTATATTAGTTTTAGCTAATTGATATTTTTTTCGACAAAAACGATGATTATAACAAAAAGAAGGACGAAACAAAATACTAGATTAACTTTCAATTCTATATTTGTGGATTAAATTGAACATTATATATTTTTTTTTATTTTTATATAATAAGTAGAGATTAGAAATTTTATAAAATGACAATAAATCTTGTTTGATTTCATTTTAAATTTGATATGTTCTATAAAATGTTTAGCATAATATATTGTCGCAATGATTTGTTACTACAATGAAACCTTAATTGTGCCCTTAAAGTTAATAAATGCAAAATACTCCGAGGACGGTTTTACAGTTCCGTATACACGAAGCATTATGCTGTAAACCTTCGTAATATTTACATTTTCATCGAAGTATTTCGCTTTACAATCCTAATAACTTCGTATACTTACAGACTAAATAAAGATAAATTAATTTTTGCAAAATGATATAATATTGATATTCAAATCTTTCATGGCGTACAGAATTTCAATGATATGAATTTAAAAGTTAAAATTTTCAAATTATTTCCAATCAGAAGTACATACTACGCCTCGTCACGTACAGTAGATCAACGCGAATCTTATGCTGTATTGGCTCGGTCGTTTGAAAATAGCGGAGTTAACGTTAGCAGTACTTTTTGCTCCAATACAAACTGGCCCTTGAAATTTGTGGCCTTATCGAATTTATCAATGGGTATCAAAAACGATAAACAAGAACTTTCTAGTCACATGCAAGAATCCCAGGAAATTTCTCATAATTTGAAGGATGACTATAAATACAGTTTTGAGTATATTTGATATTCGAAGTGAAACAAACGATTAGCAATCATTCAGAAATTTGTGCTGCAGAATTTTTGATCTCTAGCAAAACATTTCCGCCTAACCAAATACAGGTTCACTATTTGGTCATAAATATTTATCATTTTTGATTTTTTCATCGAAAAAATTTTGAACCCGAGAATGAAATTAAAGATAATGTAGTATTAATTAACTATTAAAGGATTGTCCCCTTAAGGAATGAATGCAGTTCAACTTGTTTTTTCTGTATTAAAATTACTAGAATTAAAAATCACCCTACACATTCCCCCCCCCAAAAAAGTAAAATAAGGTTATAATTAAAATGTTTCGTTATAATTATCGTTTAGTAATTGGATTACTTTGAAACAAAATTGCAAGTTCAAATTTTATTAAGCAAGTAATTAATTTCTTTGAACAGAATATAATAATGTTCGTCAATTAGCGTTCCCAAAGTTAAAATTTTTACACAAAGCCTTGGATAATTATTTATATCTACGTCAATTAAATAAAAAAAAGGATAAAAGGGGTCCAAAAAGAAATTAAGCAAAATTGTGCAGGAAGGGTAATGAAAATTCATATATAATATGGGAACGAGTTAATTACAAATCGACATAAAAATTAAAAGCTTTCTTATACATATACCCATTTGCCTCATTTGTAACGATAGCAATCAACTCCATTTGACCAAAACATATTGAAATACATAGAGGGCCCAAGGGATTATCGAATAGTTGAACGATAACTTTGCCTAAATATACCATTTCACGTTCGTCACAATATACTGCATCATTTTTTTTCGTACAGTAGATTTCAATATCCATAAACTCTTGGTCAGGTATTGGGGTTATGTTATGACTAAATCGTTGTTCCACATATACTTTTTCACCTTTCTTTACCATTGGTTGAAATTCGTATATCAACCCTCGCGTATTACGTGATGGCGGGTCACCTTGTTTCTATAAAAAAAGAATAGCATTATTATTTATTTAATAGCTTTTATATGAAAAATTTTGTATTTGAAATCATGTACCCAATCACGGTGGTTTTTTACACCGTACGTCCATTTTAATACTCGCGTTTTTATAACTTCCATATCAAGCCCATATTTGCATGCACCGCTAAATTAAATTATTTTGAAGTACATCTTAACAAATGAACAAGTAATAATAATAATAATAATAATAACATAATGAAAAACTTACTTAAGGATTGATAATCCGGGAGAAATTGGAACTGAAGGATAAAATTTAGTCAATTTTAATAAAATCAGTTTTAAGGAGAATTTATGAATTAAATTTGAGTCCTACGAAATTTACCCACCTATAAAATTATCCACTCTATCCTCAAAAGCTTGTTCGATTCTTTTTTGAAGATATATAGATTCACTAAATCCTCCAACCAAAAACATAGCAGAAACATCCCCAACGCTATCTAATTGAGCTTCAATTAACTCAATAATCTTGTCTATAACTGGATCAAAGAATAAAAGAACGGTACGAAAATCTAATTTAAACGACCATTTTTCGTATGTAATCTGTAAATGTTCTACCATCCCAATGTCATACATAACATCATCCCTCATTCTTCTTAACAAACTAAATTGATAAGGTTTGTAACTAGCCTCTTCACCGGTAAATGGAATTTTAACATTTGAGCAAAATTCTTGTATCATAAAGTGATATTGAGAAGGATGATTTACTT